TTTGGAGGTGCAACACCTGCTGAAGTTACACAAGGAACAACAGCAGAAATTGTAACGACAACCGTAGGAGAACTTGGAACAACTGTTGGACGTGGAACACCTGCTGAGGGTACACAAGCAACAACAGCAGAAGGTGTAACGACAAGCGTAGGAGAAGTCGGAACAAGTGCTGAACATGAAACACGCGCTGATGGTGCAGAAGGCACAACCGCAGAAGGTGTAACGACAAGCGTAGGCAAAGTTGGAACAACTGCTGGACATGAAACACCTGCTGAGGGTACACAAGGAACAACAGCAGAAGTTGTAACGACAACCGTAGGAGAACTTGGAAGAACTGTTGGACGTGGAACATCTGCTGAAGTTACGCAAGGAACAACAGTTCGAGGTGTGACGAAAAGCGTAGGCAAAGTTGGAACAACTGCTAAACATGAAACACCTGCTGGGGGTACACAAGCAACAACAGCAGAAGGTGTAACGACAAGCGTAGGAAAAGTCGGAACAACTTTTGGAGGTGCAACACCTGCTGAAGTTACACAAGGAACAACAGCAGAAATTGTAACGACAACCGTAGGAGAACTTGGAACAACTGTTGGACGTGGAACACCTGCTGAGGGTACACAAGCAATAACAGCAGAAGGTGTAACGACAAGCGTAGGAGAAGTGGGAACAACTGGTGGACGTGGAACACCTGCTGAAGTTACACAAGGAACAACAGCAGAAGGTGAAACGACAACCGTCGGAGAACTCGGAACAACTGCTGGACATCGAGCACTTTTGGATAGTACACAAGGCACGGCAACAGAAGATTTGACGATTACCGTGAGAAAAGTCGCAGCAAGTACTGGGCATGAAACGGTAGCGGAAGGAACGGTAGGCGAGACGTATATGCCGGTGACTGTTCGTGAAAGAAGTAAGTTTAAGTTTTGAAACAGATTTGAGTGGACTCTGGCATGTTGAAATGCTGTTTTCTTTTATAAGAATGTTCCAAGATGCAAGACTTGGTATCATTGGGCTCAAGAGGTCTGGCATCTGTGACGATCAGTGGTGAACCTGTTGAGTCGGCAGCTATCCCAGCCGCGCTTGTGGTGTCGAATCTTCCTTTTATCCTACGTGTCGTTTTTAAAAACGTGAGAAGATCATGTTTATTGAATTTGCTTATTATGTTCTTTTGCTTTACAGCCTGCTTCTCTTCGGGAGGTGTCTGTGATCAATCCGTCTGAGTCAAAGGTATCCTTAATCATGGTCGGGACGGATCAAACTGAGGATAAGTATAGTACAAATTCAAATGCACCAACAGTAACATTCGAGGACGACATAGAAGACGTCGAAGATATGACGATCACATTGGTGTCCACGAAAGACAATATGTTGCCGGGACATCCCGTGAAGTTATCTATATTGGCGTGTGTGCAAAACGACTCCATTCTGACAAAGCCAGTGACCGAACGAAGTGAGTTAATGTTTATTTATGCATGAACGATTATTTTGTACTACCGCTTTTGTGTATTTTATGTAGACTCAGCAATTAGTACCTTATCCTCTATTTTATCATCAACAACTGTTAGTTCGAGTCCATTGAAGAATATATCAACGCCTCACTTCTCGACGACAACATCAAGTATTTGTGAAGACGGTATTGTACTCATTCCAGAAGAAGGCAATAGTGAGAACAGCTTATTAGTACCTCGCTATTTTGTGAAACCACGAATACCCTATAATCCGACTGATGTAAATCCAGGAGAAATGGGTGTCTCTTTTCCTGCATCGGACAAAGCTTATATTATGATTTTTCCAGTATCACCAGCAGCTGTAATTAAATCAGTTCGCTTACCGGGAACAAGTAATGTCGATCAAATGCGTGTCTTGTTTCTGGATGCACAAGATAAGCCTATTATTGTTCAACCATCAGATCATGTCCCATTACAAATAACTTCGAAGTTAGAAAAACATCCGACAATCAATGTGAATCTTTTAGAAAAAGTAAATGCTGTTCATATTACGTTTATACACACAAGTGACAGTCAACCACCAGAAGGTGTAACGGTTGAAATAGTTGCCTGCGTTGAACCATCAAAGACAACATCCAAAACATATACCACACCTGCTACCAACTACACATCATCAATATCATGTAAGAATATTAAAATAATGTAGTTTTGGAATTGTATTTTCTTGTGCTTTTAGCTCCTGACAGCCCCTGCAAACCTAAACGAAAACCTGCTGCTCGAGTTGCCATTGGTGATTGCATTTCTCGACAAGAAATTCAACAAGAATCATGTGCTGGTCATTGTCCATCATACGAAGAGCTTGATCCTTTAACCGGAGATATCGCAGAAAAAGAATGTTCATGTTGTGCACCAGATTCAACTTATACTGAACCAATTATAATGGACTGTGTTAATCCAATAACAGGACGAAACGAAGAGCGAACATCTCAAATTATTCGTATTCGATCATGCAAGTGTTCAACGTGTTTAGGAACAGCAGTAAAATCTTATTCCAATGATGAAAAAACATACGAAACAATCGACAGAAACAATCGCTCGAAAATAAAAACAAAAACGCGCCGACGATAAAAAACAGACATAAATATTTATATCTGACATTTTCAATGATGTTTTATGGGTGATAGGTTGCTAAGGGTTAAATATATATTATTACAGTTAATCTGATTAATTTGTTCTTTTTTCTTTTCTTCTTTTTGACCCCAATCAAAAAATATCTCTTTTTCTCATCTTATTATCTACCAACAATATCAATGGTGACCTTAAATGATATAGTTTCAATTTATAGATAACGCAAAAATATATGATTCATTTAAATTAAAACAGAACAAGGTTTGATTCAATATTTCGCATACTGCTATAACTGAAATAAAATTTTATTTCACATTCAAATATCAAAGTTTATTTTGTTAATCACTTAATTTAATCAAATGTACAAACTGTGGGAGAGATGACTTAGTATATGAGCATCCTCGATTAGTAGTCTAATTCTCAAATCTTTATGATTGTAAGGTTTCAAACATTATCATGGCTTCATTAAAAACTTCAGTGACATATTAAAATCTCATTAATCCATCAAAAGATTAAATGAAAAACAATTTGCATACTCGATTATGTAAATAATTATTTATATCATCTAATACTGCATGCATATAGGGCTTTGTAGGAGTGTTCATATGTACTCTTACTTTTCATCACTTCCCAACAAATCAAAGAAAACGTATAGATAATAAAACGATCAAAAGCAAACATATAAGAAAAACAAATCAACACAAAAAGAAACAAGTCTTTTGTTTTGCACAATTTCATAAAAACATTCAGACATGAACGAACATATGAGAAAAAATACGATTTGTCAGCTTTTATACGAGAAAAAAAATAGAAATTTAACACTGAAGACATGAAATTAATTCAATCAGCAATCATTCATTTCTCTAACATGCGTTGGTTTTATGTCTGCTCCAAAATGCTACAGTCTATTTAGTTTGCATCGCACGTCGGGACAGACAAGTACAAACACACAAATATTGACACTTCCTTTTTATATCTGAAGGTAGACTGTTATAGTGTAAGAAGATAGGAATTGAATATAAAAGAGAAAAAAAACTTTAACCCTGAGCATGATGTTAATATTCAAATGCTTTTTGTTCTGTAGTATCACCTTGTTCGATACCATTTGATAAATAAAGAGATTGAACAATTTTCTTTCTATGATTCCATGGTACAAATATACGTGATACATGTGTTCTTTGATCAACAACAGCTGATTGACTTCGTTGTCGATTTGATAATTTTTCATCATCATGAATATTATTATTATTGTTATTATTTAAATTTTCATTTGAAGCATAAATTAAAGCACCACGAAACGGTTGTCTGTCTTCAGTTAAATCATAAACAACAGTTTGAAATTCTCTTGGTACTTCCCATTCGACTTCATTTAACTGACTAACACTAGCAAAACGCATTCGATTCGATGATGTTGGAATAATTGATTCATTTGGAATAGTTTTTTCAATTGCACTTGTTCGATAATCTATTGGTATCGATTCATCTGTATTTATTTTCACTGATATTCTTGGTGATTCATCAAATTTTGATGATGTTCGACTACGATGTGTTTGAGGATATTGTGTTGAAAGTAAATCAAGTGGTGGTGTTGTACTAGTACTACCTTTTAGAATAGATTTAGGTACAAGTGTTAAATGATTACCACTGAATGATTCAGTTGAAGTATCTGTTCGTTGTATATGTGAGAGAATAAGTTCAGGACGATGAAGAGAATGAAATTGAAAATTTTCTAATTCATCATCGTCATCATCATCATGATGTTTAAAATGATCATCATCTTCGTATTGATCTCGATATTGACGAAAATCAATTATAGTTGGACGAGGAGGTAGAGATTGATGTGCATAAAGGTAATCATCTGTCGGATAAGAACGAACCTCATAATCAGTTGGTGACAATTGTGCAGTATTTATTATTCCATTTGTTGTTGATGGTCGTAATTCAATCCAATTAAAATGCTGAGATGAAGAAGGAGGTGCTGTTAGTAGAGATGATGCTGGTGGAATAAATTCATTATCATCATTATGATCACGATAATAACCAAAATTTTGAATACCATTTTCAAAACTTATCGTAGGATTTTGTTCTCGAATAGTACCAACAAGTGCTAATTCATCAGCATGTGGAGGACGAAGAATAGTTGATTGAAATTGTGATGGTGTACCACTATTGCCTTGAAGATATTCATATTCTTCTCGCTATAAAAATAGAATGTCACATATTTATTTAAAAAATGTTCAATATTAATCTGATATAGTTACAAATCATATTTTTCGTCTTAAAAATAAATAATCAGTATGAGTGTAAAAAAAAGCTATGATAAAATCAATTGACTTAATTGAGCGCTTATTCTAGTATAAACAGAAAATATCTCTCGTTCTTTTTTTTTCCGTTTGATTAACAAAAAAAAACAGTATTCGAACTGAATAACGAATCATTCGCCTTGAATAGTGATCAACAAGTAACATTAAGTGGTAACTTGATATAAGATATCCATCGTTAGAATAATAATTTTTTTTCGAATATTCATATGAATTAATGAGAGTAAAAAGAAAAGAATTACCTTAACATAAAATCGTTTTGGTTTAATACGATTGAAGCAGCATCGGCATAGACAGATGACAAATAAAAGTTCTAATAAAATTATGGAACAAATAGCCCATAAAACTAAATTTGTTTCCAATTGATTCATCGTCTATCGACGTGATAGGCAATAGATAATCCCTGCGGTAAAAAATAAATAAATAAATAAAATCAATTTCTAGTCGACAAATGTAAGTATGTAGATTGCGTAAGAAAAGAGGTAATATGAATGAGAAGGTTATCTCTAGTTGATGATCCATACATTAGAAAACATGCTATTGAAAAGAAAGCGACTATGATTGCTTTCAAATATTGAAGACAGTTTCATACAAAATAAAACTCAATACTCAATATGTAGTAGGTCATCGTATGGTTCAATTGGTGAAAAAAACAAACATCTATATATATATATATAGAGAGAGAGAGAGATGTGTGATGTAATTCTTTTGAGTATTTTTACCCTGAAGCCTATTTGAACAAAAAAAACGACTGATCAAATTTCGATGGGTCTGTTTTCAAAACGAATTTGTCATAAATAAGATTAATCGTAGATATCCAAATGCGCACGCGTTTTCTTCCTGTATCTGATCATATTGATCAAATTTCGAAGTATGAAGAAATGTGAATAAATTACTTCGACACCTCAATATTAATGTGAGAGAACAAAAGTGACCGAAGACGATGTTATATTACTGTTATTACAGAAATAAAAAGTATATTAAACATTTGGTCTTATATTGTTCAAATAAGAGAAAAAACGATTTTTTTTTTTCATTTCGTTATTCGAACTCAATCTGATAGAAGCTAATAAAAACGAATGGTTTGTTCTCAATTTAATGTCCAAAAAAATCGATATATTCGTTTTACTTTTTTCTTTATCTTTATCCTAATTGTTTTTCTTTTTGACATACAATAAGAATACATTTAATTTTGTTACTTTTCCTTCTTATGACGTGATTTATGTCTAATCCGCAACTGCAATCATTTCACACACTTGAAATATGTCCGCATATTCTTTACTTTTTTGCCTCTTAGTTTCTTTTTTATCGATTGTTATTTTTGACTGCATTAAGCATATCTATATACATTATTTAGCTGTTCGTAAAAGTCAATTGTTTTTCTATGTCATCTTTTGCAGACAAAAACATATTACAAAGGAAGAAATCATAGAAGTATTTAAGTGAGAAAGAAGAAAAAAAGACGTCTATTTTCACTTACACTTTCCTTTTGATTTTTGAAATTGATGTCTTGCCCTAATTCTTGACATCGTTTCTTCTCGAAATTTTCATACGACATCTAATCATTTTTTTGTGCTTACCTGAGCATTATTGGCATTTATACAAAATAAAAAGTCCAACGAGCTTTACCGAGAGGAGAAAAAAAGAAAAGAACAAAGAAAAAGATTAACTGAAGTATATAGATTTTCTTCTCTATGCATTCGTCATTATGATAAACAAAAGAAAAATAATAAAAAAATATCACACTACATTTCGTTCATTCTTTCAAAATACTTACATAAATTGATTTTATTATCAGTCGAGACATTGAAAATGATAAGACATATATTTGAACAAGATAGATTTGTATGCCATGCGAAAGTAAACTGACTTTCTTTTGTATTTTTATTCTAATCTAGGTAGACTTTTGCCTAAAGGTAACGTTGAGTTTCGGCATATATCTAACATGAGAATATAGAACTGAATATTTATAAAAGAAAAACACACTAGTAAGTGAGGGAGATGAATGAGTTGGAGAGAGAGGAGAAAAAAGGAAAAAAAACGTTGTGTGTGAGAGTGTGCGTGTGTGGCTTCTTCATCGTTCTCCTTCGGCACATATATATATATAGTTTAATAATAAAGTTCAGATTTTACGATGATGAACGAGCCAACTACCTTGCCTGTCTTAAAAAAAAGAATGCCGATGCTGACAGAACGCACCACTTGTCCAATTATCGGTTCTGGTACGACAAGAGAGGTTGGAAAAAATCAAAACGAAGAAAAAAATATAACTGTAAAATAAACGATAAAAAATAAAATTTACTTGCCTGTTTTTAATTTCTTCACACTACGACTATTCCAATGTCGTTTTTCTTCTATTTATATGAAGTGTACTGAAATAATAGGCACATCAAGTTGTCACATTTTTACTATAAAAAAGAATACCGAATGGAGTCATTGTATTATAAAAGATTAACAATTCTATGATTCTATCTCAATCTTCATTTTTTTCTTTGTATGCTTGGCATAAACGTAATGAAAAGAAAGAAAAATGGCAAAAAAAAGAAGCAAGGCTTAATGCACACCTCATATTGAAGGTCAATTACTAGTTTTTATATTTTTCTACATGTAAGTTCTTAATGAATATTGATTTTGTGAGATATGTATATACTTTTAAATTTTCAATGAACCGTTCATGATACAAATTCAATTGAGTCGCCTGCTTTTTTTGTGGTTATTCTGACTGTTCCCCTTTTTGTCTGTATGCCTACTGGTCACGCTCTTGAGTGTTTAAAAGTACTAGTAGAAAAAAGAACACATTTTATTCTCCTCCTCTGCCACTCTATCGTTTCAAAGAAAATTAACGTCTTGTTAATCGATCTCACACTATGCAAGCCAATACGTGCCCGTATCGTAATTAGAAAAAGCCGAAAGGAACGAGGACATATATAGACATACATCACGTCAAGCACTCTCTTGTTCGTTTGTCGAATAGGCTTAACAAAAAAAAAAGCATTGACATTTCAACAAAAATTGATGACATCATCTCTCATTTACTCTTATTCACATACAAATCATTATTGACCATATATATATAAATGTATACTTTCGTTTTTTTCCAATATATAGATGAGCTTGCTTGTTTATTTGTACAAAAAAACAAGACAAAAAGAAAAGAAAAAGGTTTCACATGAATAAGAATATATGTGTTGTTTAAACAGCGGTACCACGTTCCAAATTTTGCTTGATTTCGGCTGTATATTTCCCGTAATAACGTTCGATTTTCTTATTAAATGCCCGATTACGTTCATTAATATAATCGATATCAGCATCAATATCAAATGCACGTCGTCGAGAAAATTTTCCACGTTTCGAATATTGTTGTTCAAGATCTTCAACCATACGATTAACTGCTGTTTCACTTGGCTTATGTGTACCATGAATCAATGAACTTGATGTTGCATAATAATCTTCACCTCTACAAATTTAATAGATATACATATAAGTGTGATGATCTATCATATCAACGCTAAACTTACAATTCTTCTTTTTGCTTATTACATGCTTCCATATCAGGTTTTATTTGTGCAGTCAATTTTGTGTAAGCACGATAAGTACATTGCTCATAATCTATGAATAAATTTATGCTTAGCAAAGTTCTCATTTGTGTTTAAAAGAGACCTTCGAATGTCATAAAAAAGTAAGTACGATTTCTGTTAAATGTCATAATAAGCTATTTAATAACCGTTAAAGTAACAGAATATAGAAGGTCAATAGGTTACAAGTTTAGTTGAACAAAATTATAATTAATGAAACATTCTTTTTCAGAACTTTCTTTTTTCTTAAAAAAGAAATATATATATATACTTTTTTGTGCTCTCTTTTTCTCTCCATTCTTCCGTTTAATTCATCATAACATAATTCTTTTTCTTTTTATTATAGTTTTTATGTCAATAGAATTTTAAAATAACTATAGGGGAAGATTTAACTCACTATCAAATCCAACATCGGGATTCTTTCTCTTGCGTTTTTTCTCCCATTTATCACATTCTTCAGCTGTCCAATCTAGTTGTTCAACACGTTCATAATCAAGACCAGCATCAGCAACTTCACGTCGTCGTTTATTTTGTTCTTCTTGTTTTTTAACACGTTCACAACGCCGTTCATAATTTGTTGGTAGACTTTTTCGATGGTCTTCTTCAATAACTTCAGCATGATTTAGTTTTCGAGCTTCATTCTTTAATTAAAAACAACGAATGCTTTTCAAATTAAAACTAAGTAATGAGTGACTTATACTGAATGGCTACTTTTTGCATGTCATCATTCAATTACTTAATAGGATTTATTAAAAAATAAATTATACTGCAAGATGCACCAAGACAAAGCTTATTTTATATATCAGTATTGTGCTTTAGAAAAAAAGGCAAATTCTGTTTGACCAAATTTCAACACTGCGAATAAGATAATTTTTTTAAATAAACGACCGATTTACTTTTTTATCTGATTGATTGATAAAAATTACTTGTCATTAAAGCGCATTTATGTTGCTAGTTGACATGAAGCATATCAACGAGAGAACATGAGTTAAAAGGCTAAGTATTCAAAAAAATGATGGCATGATTAGGTGCTTCTAAAAATGGTCTCGGGTTTCCAATTATATTTGAATCGAGATGAGATGAGCAAGTACGAGTATTGCTTACTCGTACTTGCTCAGCTCGGATGACTACTGATCGACAATATCATCTATTAATAAGATAATGTAATGCCTCATATACATTAGCAAACATTTACATGATGCTCGAGGTATTTCGGGCATTTCAGAAGCAAACATTGATGAACAATAAAAAACAATTCTGATCTCAACATTTTTGTTTATTTATGTCATGGGACAGGCTATCGGCAACAATACGTAATAAAATAAAATTACAAACCAAGATTCTTTAATCATTGAAGTAACGAAAAGAAACAATCATGCTGGCAATGTCGAACAGATTTTTTGTAAAAGAAAAGTGTATAGGCTTTTCTTTGTAAATGTTGGAGCACTTCTCGATGCATCTTGTCATATATTTTGTTTTTTTTAATAGCGAAGATTAGTTGATGAAAAGATGGCATGAAAAAAGCGGATATTCATTATGGCTCACTGGTTAGTTTTTCTATACATACACGTCGATAATGAAGTTCTTTTAAACGTGCAAGTCGTTCAGTACGTTTACTATCTGTATCGTTCATAGATTTTTCTTTATCCATCTGAAACACAAAATTTAAATAATAATCAATTCTACTTAGAAAAAATTATGCTATTTTATTTCTTGTTCTTCTTTATCTTTTAGTATATGAAATAATTTATGATGTGTAAATAATGAAAAATGTTTTTCTAAATCACAGATACACAAATGAGTTAATGGTAATGATGAAGTTTTACAAATTGATAATATTTGTAAATAACGTTGTATACATTCATCAATATTTTTTTGATCAGGTTTTTCATGTTCAATAAAATCTTGAATTGTAATAAGTAATTGTTCAAAATAATTTGATGGAAAAAGATTCTTTTGGAGAACATTATTTTGATCTGACTTATGTATGACGATAGAAAATAAAAATGAAAGAATTGATGTATGAAAATGATCAAGATGTGAACATAATGATGATGATGATTCAAATGCACGAAGAGAAAGTAAAACATTCAGACGAATCATTGAAGGCACAAAATTAAATAAGGATGAGTTATCTATTTAAAAAAAAAGAAAAGAATTTTATCAAAACCAGATGGTAAATATCGATCTTGTTTTTATTCTATGGTTTAAGAAATGCTATTGGGAGTAAGATAATCAACAATTTATAAATAATTATAGACAAAATAAACTCGAATATTAATAACTGACAACCTCATTATAAAAATGCTTAATTAGATTTTTATTCAATGAATATTCGATGATAATCAAATTTTTGAGTGGAAGCATTCAAGTATATTTTTTTTAAAATTAATTTTATGTCAGCTTAATAAGTAACATTGTGCAGTCATCATTTATATGAATGGTCTCCATGAATAATTTTCTATTTGTGAATTTTTGATAAAATACTCAAAGTTCTTCTTGCTTAATGTTTTAAATTTATTATGAACTGGAGAACATAAAATTATGTAATTTTTTATAGAATTATTTATTAATATTTCTTTCGATAAATGAGTAACACGTCACGTACACGCCTTATTTTTATGAGGTTCATGATTTTTAGATTTAACTTTATCAAACCTTTCTTTTGTAGCGATACAACAAAATTAATGTTTCTAAACAATAGTATAAAATATGAATGAATTTCAAAAATCCCTCCCCCCCCCCCTCCTCCAAAAAAAGCACTACAACGAAATCAAAGTCTTTCGAGAAACAAAACTATATCGAAAGTAGAAATGTGCAGAGTAAGCTGTTTTAGTATCATGATTGAGAAATATTTTCTTGCTCTTACTCTACTTTGCCCTGTCCTTACCTTATGAAGTTTTTAACTCATTCTCCCTTAATCCTACCCTAGTTGAAAGATTCAAAAAGTGATAAATATCAAAATAGTATCATGTGAGAGATGTGCTGGGTAAGCCTGTTTTGTATCCTGACTAAGAACAAGATTTCTAATCCTGAAGCATAACTAATTATTGTATATGAATATAAAAACTCTTTGTTTACTTTGCGCAATAAATTCTTGTTGTAAAGTAACAAGTAATAAATTAGTAGAATTAGTTAAACCATATGTAAGTAATTCAATAAGTGTTTGAATTATTTTTTTATCAATAATAAAATTTTCTTTATCTAATAATATACATGTTTCTTTAATAAAGCATAACGTAAATAATGATGATATTGTACAAAGATTATTAATAGATTTAGTTATTGCTAATGCAATATGTTCACGTATAATAAATTCAATAATTTTTGTTATTAATGAATCCATTGTTTTTGATATTGTTAAAAGCCATCGCGCAATTATTGTTAATGTTGGTTTTGATTCAAATGATATAGAAAGTGAAAGAAATTTTAATATTAAATTATAATAAAGTGTAAATAATGGATGATCTGTATCCGAAAGTATATCAAAAAAAATAATATCAAAAACACGTGTTGAAATTGTTAAATCAGATTGGTTTTCGAGAAATTGTCTTAATAAATCAAGTGTATGAAGTTCTTGAATATTATTTAATGTTTTTATCCATATTGTTTGAGTTGGATTTGTATTTGATGTTGATAATGAATGACAAAATATAAAACGATTTGCTAACATAGATAAATCTTTACGTGTAAACATTGAGCATTCACGTATAGCAATTAATGCTGCTTCAACAGATGCTGGAAATTTATGTTGATGTAATAATTGTGTTACTTTGTCAATAGTTAATTGTCCACTATCCATAATTTAAAAAACAAAATATCTAAAAACAAAAACAAAAAAAACAAGAAAAATTTCAAATAGTAATAATAAATAATTGATCATCAGTCAAAATAAATGTTCGTTCATTTGTTGTGATAAGACCAAGAATTTCACAATGATTTTCAAGTGATATCATATGTTGTTTTGCAATACTCTCAACAACTTTACCACTCTTTCGATTACGTAATGATGAACCAGGTAGATTTGATGCTGGAGAATTTTGTTTATAGATGTATAAATGTGTACTTGTATCAGATATTAATGCATATGAATAATCAGCTGGAGTAGAAATAAATTTACGACTTTGTTTAGATGCTTGAACATAACCGAATGCATTTAATGTTGCTTCATGAGTCCATGGTGCTTGATCATTAGTTACTATAGAATTTATATGCCATATAACTCCATCAACCTAAAATTAAAAATTTTTATCTACCACGACAAGCATAAATGACTGAATATGAAACTTCACATTTTATCTTTTTAAACAACAAGTTGCATTTTTTTAATGTGTTGTTCCAAAAAGATGAAGTGCGAAATATAACATTCAGTCCTTTTGCTTGTGGTGGATAATCAATTTTTAGTATTTCTAGTCTGACATAGTAAATGTATGACATAATGAGCTAATGAACTATGAAAATAAACTTACATTTTGATGAAAACCACGGTGCTATACAGAGTGTTCTGTATGGATACAATTTTCTTGCAACCGGACTCGGATAGCTGTACCTGGCTGGAGCTAATCGACATTCGAGTTACTTTCACAGTTATAGTGAATTTTTCAACCTCTTAGTTTATGTGAAAAAGTAAGCTATCTAGTTTCTTCCAAAAAACAGCAACAGAAAAGCAAGTGTATCAAGTGATTTAGGGTTCACTTGGTGTTTTTTTGCCTTCAAAACTCAATCAATTTCTCTAAGCACACATTTGTTTGCTGTTGATCACACTGGAATAGACTGCAGTGTTGGCGTCAAACATCATAATTGTGGATATATACATAAATGCTTTCCCATAACGATAATTCAGGGTCACTAGAAATCTGCATCGGAATCATTTCTAGGAGCGGTTCCAGCTATCTAAATTGTCTGCTAGACAATAAGGTTGAACATTATAAGTGCTTTTTGAATGGTGCGTCTTATTCGTTGATATTTATTGTGCAAACTAATGTATTTTGAAGGCCCGATTCCTGTCTTCTCATGGCTTTGCAAAGGTGGGGCAAAGTCGGAGTCAACTTTGAATCAATTCATTTTCCTTTCCATGTATTCAATTAGTTTCTCATCGTCTATCAATGAGTTTTCATTTAAAACGAATTCTTTTAGTAAAACAATATATCTTTTTCTTTCTGTGACCTGTTCTCAAGTGCAGGGTGGGTCAAAATATTTTTTCTTGGCGGTAACGCTATGGTTTCAAATAGCATCCATAACAAATTTTACACCAAATTACAGCGAGTCGAAAATGGGATTTATTGATACTAAATAGTAAAGGTTATGGCAACTTTTTACTGTCGAATTCAAGAAATTCCTAGAATTTCAAACCATTTTCACATTGAAAAATTACTTTCATGAAGCAATTCAAACTAGATCTCATTTAAAATGATGGATAACACGAAGTACTCCACACCTGATCTGGAAATATTGGAATAATAATCAAAAATAAAACTGAAAGAAAATGTTATAGAAGCTGGAACACAATCATTATGATGAAGAAACTTTGAAAAACATATTTCAGATGTTTTGGCAAACATGGAAACAAACATTGAGTTATTTGAAACCATTTCATGTTCGTATCCGTCTCATATTCGTGCTGTAAAGAAAGCTAATGATCATTATACTGATTATTGATCATATTCATCAAACCATAAGATATAAATAGTACTTTGTGATATTCCTTATTTTAAATGAGATCTAGTTTGAACTGCCTCATGAAAGTAATTTTTCAATGTGAAAATGGTGTGAAACTCTAGGAATTTCTTGAATTCGACTCTAAAAAGTTGCCATAACCTTTGCTATCTAGCATTGATACATCCCATTTTCGACGCGCTTTAATTTGGTATAAAATTTGTTATGGATGCTATTTGAAACCATAGCGTTACCGCCAGGAAAAAATATTTTTACCCGCCTTGTATAATAAATTGTTTTGATTTTATATAAATTAGCAGTTTGAAAAAGGAAACACATTTTGAAACGTCGAGATCACATTTATTGCCGAGTCGGTTCGGATCGAATCGGATGCAGAACACTGCTCTATATATTGAAATTATCTCAAGATGGTAGAAAAAGCAAGGCGATCGATTAGGTGTATGATCTAAAGAAAAAAAAAGTTTTTTTTAGGAAACGACTTACGTCATGACGAATGCATAATGATGGTGGATCTAATTTTGTAAATAATATTTGATTATAAATCAATGCTTGATGTGTAATACAATGTTTATCACCATCGAATCGTGATAAAAAATTATCAGTGTCATTTGAATATTGATCACATTCTTCAAGCTGTTGACTATTATATGGTTGTTTAATTTCATCATCTTCTTCAATATTATTTGTTGTTTCAGGCAAAGAATTCATTTTAATATCACCTGATACAGCTTGACCTTCTTTAAATATTTCATTCCAAAATGATCCAGCATTAGACTTATGTAAAGTTATTGTTAATAGGTTACTTTTATCTTTTGTAATCACATACGAACTTTCTTTTGGATCAATATTATCATAAAGTTTAGCATCAATTAATATAATATCATTAACAGAACATTTCAAATGATTAGATTCCATATTAACTGACCATTGCTGGGATTCATCTGTTTTAGAATCAATTTCTATTTCAACAATACTATGAGTTTGTGACCAAATATAATGAAGAGGTGATTCAATCTTTTCAACAACTAATTGTTTTGATATTTCTTCTTTTTTAACCTAGTGAAATATATTTAATTTTAAACTATACAGGATGTTTCAGAAGTCTTGGGACGCGATAAAATTCGTTTTTATGCAGCCAGGAAATAGCCTCTAACAGAATGATTTTTTATATGAACCTTGAATATTCTTGTCAATCTTTTCAATGAAATATTATTTCATAATATCTTCTTTAGAAGAAAACGAAAAATACTCCTATATCAATTTGATCACACAAAAATATCATTTGACTATCACGTATTTGTTGTTCATTACTTTATATTAATTCTCCAAGTGTCTTAGAAATTTTGTCAATCGTTACAAGTTAATTGTCACCTTGAAATAAAACTCGATTATTAAATAATTCATCAACATTTTAAAATATAATCTATGTATTTTATTCTGCGCGCGACGTTCTCATTTACTTTATACATTTCAATTCGATTACTAAGTACATAGCTTGGCTGAATATATAACCAATGGATCATGATGAGCGCCGAATAAATACCTAAGAGTTTTTTTATGCAGTCATTCAGGACTTTTTTTACGAGAGAAGATATTATCCAATACTATCTCATTTGATAGATTGACACGAATACTTAAGGTTCATATGAAAACGTTTGGTTAGAGGCTATTTTCTGTCTGCATATAAAACTAATTTTGTTGCGTCTCACGTAGTGTCGGATTGGTCCGAAAATTGTAGACTTTATGAACTCTGTGATATGTTCTGATTTACAAAAAAGTATATTTCCATCGTAGAATTATAATCAATCAAAAGCATTATGCAGAAATCTATCCTACAAAGAATGTGAAGATATTTTAATAAATGAAAAATTTCTGTGCAATTACAAACAAATTTCGAAATTACTCAAATTTAACGAGAAAACTTGCAGAATTCGTATACAAACACAGTTGTTACCGTATTCAAAATTACAAATGTTGCTGAGAGACTCCCAGAAAAGTGCTTTATTTTCGAACAAATGGTTTCGATTACTTTTATGGTAATTATGTTAGCTTCCGAACTTTCTTTCTGGTATTTATTTATTTTTTACAAGTCTAAACAATGTTGCAGACTCTAGTATCAAGACTTATGAGAAAGCTGTATAAATGTTTAGTTTTTATTCTTTACCTCAATAAGGGAATCAAATGTAAATGTATAAAATCCTTCAGCAGCAATATATAATCCTTGTCCATTAGATTCAATAGATACAAAATCTGGCCATTTTTTACCATTTAATATTCGTCTTCTTGTTAATTTAATTTCACTTGATAATCCTAATGAAAATGTTACCCAAAATAATTTACATTCTGTTTGAATAAAACCAATAATTGCATGTAAATAACCTTCATAGTAAACTGCATGCAATAAACGCATTGGTGATGTTAAATATTCATCAAAATCTTCTTCATGTAAAAGTTTCCATTTTGAATTATTATTTGTATTTAAAATAAATAATCTTGAACGACCATCACATAAAAAAACAAGTGAATCAGTTATAAAAATCATTGATCCATATAAAGTATTTTTCGATAAGTGATAAACAATTGTTGGTTGTTGTAAATGTGACAATGATTCATTTGATGATAAATTTATTTTTTGTATTGAATGCATTTGATCAAAAAAATATAAATCATTATTATTTATATAAAGTTGATTTAAAGATTTAAATCCTTTTATACCATTATATGTATATAAATCATTATCAAGATCAATATCTTTTTGTACATGAATATTATTATCAAATTTTAATGAATATTGAGCAAGTGGTTCAAGTGTTAAACGGTAACCATCAAAATTTGAATTTAATAATTTTTGTTGTGGACGAAATTCACGCCATTCACACATGTCTCCTTTTTTTGTCTATCTGAAATAAGTCAAGAAAAAAAAAATGAAATAAGTTTCCTGGACGGAGTAACATTGTATCTTATCGTCACATAGGAACCGAAAAAAGAAACAATAAGGTCTAATACAAAACACAAACAACAAGAACAGAATAAAGAAAAGACGAAAAAAAACGAAGACTATACAATAAAGATTATTTTATTTTTTAGTTGTTCATGTGGCTGTATGATTAGGCATAAATCGTTCATCATCGTCATCATCATCATCATCATCATCATCGTCTTCTTCTTGTTCATCATCAACAAGATCAAAACTTCGTTTATTTGTTTTTACTTTAGTATAATATTGATTTGAATATGTACGACTTAATTGATGATTCATATAGAGTAAATTCGTTTGATTTGTAGATGTTGTTGATGGTAATGGTAATGGATCTTGATAAGGTACACTTAATTGTTGTTGATATGGTGAACGATTTGTTGTTGTTGATATTGCAGAAGATGTTGAAAGTGTTCGTCCAACATTATTTGGACCAGTTCCCATTCGATTAGCTAAATCATGAAGAAATGAAAGACGTGCATCAGTATATATATATTGTCGAATATGTTCAGGTGTTAAAGTTTTAGCTTGAAGTGAAATTGTTATTGATGCCGACTTAGTAATAAGTTCTTCAAGAAATTGTTCTAATGCACGTGCTGCAATCACCGGAACTGTTGCCGAAAGTTTTCCGACCTAAAAGATAAAAACACAAAAAAAAAAGTTTTTTTTTTTGTTTTTTTCTTTATAAATAAATTGTTACTTCTTCATCTTTTTGCATTAGCCGCTTGATCCGAGCAGGCAAAAATAATGTATTCGGCTTTCTACGATTTGGCATAAATCAGATCTGAAAATAGATAAACAAAAAAAAAATATATTCGTAACACTTGTGTAAGAAAGACTGTGCATCAATATATATTTGACGGAAGAGAATGAGAAAGAGATATTCTTAACGTGGAAAAACTACTGTCAACGCTTTTTTCATGATGATTTGTGGCGCTAGATAATAATTGGTCATATAATATGAATTGAAAAATTAGAATAAATTTTTTCTTTCTTTCTTTTTAATGGTTTCTTTGAAATGACCAACTGGGAAATGACAGAACAGCATTGGAAGTATTCGATTATGACAAAATTTTATAGCGAACGAAATATTCAATCGATTTAAATTCGAATTTTTGACCTATAGCAAATAAGTAGGTCATAGAATAGAACATGAAGAATTGCGATGTTTTGTCGATTTGTCGGCCAATGGTTATCATTCAAATTTGAATCTTTTCTTAAAAGATTCGCATTGTAATACAGTATGAAATGATATGTTACTAGAGAACACATTGGTCTCAGCAAATACGTCACGATAGAGCGATAATCCAATTTTGTTAAGAATATTTGTCAGGAAAAAACAACTGAAAATTTTGTCATTTATAAATAAGTTGTCCGATATTCTAGAGATAGAAGCAAATGTATTTTTGTTGAGTGATTCATACGTTTTTGTGTTGAGTGACACAGAAAATCTAGTCGAAATTCATCTATATATTAACTTCGATATTGACAAAATAATGAGACTATTTAATGTTCTTTCTAGATCGTTTGCAATTAAAATTTTTTTTCTTCAGATTTTTCTCGTCGGATATATTAAATATGTCCTTGATAAGGGAGGAATTGTTTTACATGCACTATATGGTTTTTTTTTGTCTGTTACAAATATCTTCCGTAAATAGAAAGATTAATGTATGAAGCAAGATTACATAAATTTAAAAAAATATTCAGGTTAGTTATATTCATCAAATTCATATGTAACTGTTTTTAACACAATAAATTTAAAATTCATTTATAGAAGAAATGAACGAATACGATTTTGTGTGAATGACTTGTCAAAAGAAAATCTTATTATTGTTAATCGATTTAAGATTCACATAGTGTACGAATATTTGATAGACAAGTTACAGAGAGATAGTGCTCTACCTACTTATATCGATTCTTATGATTTTATTCAACTTGAATTAAACGTTTTCGATAGTATATAAAATAATTTATTTTATTTCAGATTTATATTTAAAAAAAGAAGAATTATCATTTTGATTATAATCATCAAGTGATGTTTCGTATTTCTCTCCTAGTTTTATTGCTCTGTTGGAGTCCATTAATTTTATGCAAAAAGGAAGAACAAGTATGCTTTCAACATGTGGATAGCAGTGGAGCTTATCCATGTGAAAGTCGGCCGAGTAAAGAACCGCTCAGTTTACAGTATAGCAAAGTTCAAAGTTAGTTTTGAGTTTTATTTGATTATCAATAGTCTTCGTTTATTTTTATCTTTATATTTAGTTAGTAAACCTGCACCATCATTTGAAGGTATTGCTGTTATTAATGGAGAATTTAAAGAAATTAGTTTGAATGATTTCAAAAATAAATATCTCGTACTTCTCTTCTATCCATTGGATTTGTAAGTCTAATAAATAAATTATGAGTTTATGATTTAAAAATTTTTTTTCCTTGTAGTACATTTGTATGTCCAACTGAGATTATTGCTTTTTCTGATCGTATTGAAGAATTTAAAAAAATTAATACTGAAGGTACACTGCAGTGACTTGTTTTTCTTTTAGTACTAGAGTAATATTTTCCATGTTTTTTAGTTGTGGCAATCTCTGTCGATTCGCAATTTACTCATTTGGGTATGACTTTCTTTGTTTTTTATCTAACGCGAGAAGTCCTTGAACAAATTACTCGCTTTCAAGTCAAAACTATGTGCTTCATGTAGATTCTAATGAACTATGAACACTCGGAAAGTTCAGAAACATCAGGAAAATTCATTTTCGAATTTTCGCTTGAAATTCATCATAAAAACTGGACTCATCAAGAATAGTTTATTTATTATCAAAGTTTCAGAAATTTTCGTTGCTCCTATCGTCAGATACAGTTTCTCTTTCATACTACTCATGTATATCGGTAGATTTGATGTTGTTAGTTCAGGAAAGGAACAAATCAAAAGACTTGGAATTTTCAAAAAAAACTGTTTTAGTTAAGGTCTATCTTTGTACAAAGTTTGAAGTCGAAATTCGAAAACGAATTTTTCTAGTGTTCCTGAAGGGAACCACAGCATTAGCTTTAAAAAACCTTTAAAATGCAATACTTCGGCAACAATAATCTAAGAAGTCGAACTTTTTTCACGATACTCATTTTTCATGAGGATCTACATGATGAGCATAGTTCGAACTCCAAAGCAAATAATTAGTTGGAAGACTTTGCTCGTAATTTTTTATAAACTATTTTGTTTCTAATAGCATGGATCAATACACCTCGTGAACAAGGTGGTTTGGGCAAGATTCAAATTCCACTTTTGTCAGATTTAACACATCAAATGTCTAAAGATTACGGTGTATATTTACAAGATGTAGGCCATGCATTGAGGTACAGATACAACACAAAACTACTTCTTTTCTCTTTGATTTATGTTCACTTCTGTTTTTAGAGGATTGTTTATAATTGATGGCCGTGGTATTCTCCGTCAAATTACAATGAATGATCTTCCTGTTGGTCGATCAACTGATGAAACACTTCGACTTCTTCAAGCTTTTCAATATACTGATAAACATGGAGAAGGTAAGTTCTAGTGTGATGTATACAGTAATCCGAAAAAGTTCCTCTACCAGATAAAAACTACCTAAACTTTAATACTTTAATCTCATACTTTGACCACATACAGAACATGTTGATCGGCCTTCATCCGAAGAAGCTAGAAGGACAACATAGGTTTTTGGTTCAGACGAAGATAGCTCAACATTAGTGGCGTAACCAGGTAGTGCATGGTTGGGTGGTGTCCAGTCACCGCTCATTTAAAAAAAGAAATTTTGTTTAAAACGATAAAAGTAAAAAACCACGATATATTTGCGCCCCCTACTTTTTTCTTCAGCTTAGACTAAATTGATTGAACACATTGTCAATCGGAACTTGTCTTCCGAAATAGAGAGATGTCTGTAGTGACAGTGATGATTGATAGATTATCGTTTCACATATGATTTGTTTCCTTACGTATGGATTTTACAAGTGACATACAACAACACCTTCGTGATTCTTGTAAGAAAAACGCAGAGTTCTTGTTTAATGCAGCCCGATGATGAAGAGCCCAAACGTGATACTATTGAGTTGTTTTCTGGCTTATATTCTTCTAGAAAAACAAAGTTAATACTTCTGCTTCGACCATTGACGAATTCTCGCGAATAACAGAATCAGATGAAACAGCCTGCTGTTCAATAGACGAAGCTGCGGAATTTCTGTCGCCATTTTTATCATCAAGAACAACAGCAACTACAAAAATCTCTTTCATTCCATCAAACATTAACTGTTCCTTCAAAGAATCACTACTCTCACCTTGAGGAAACCCTCCTAACATTTCGGGCACTTCTGGAGACCGGTGAATGAGAAAAATTTGAAATTTTCAGAATAGATAGAATTTAATAAGTAGGGCAAAAGTTGTCGTATTGCCGAAATTCTTGGATTCTTTCTTCTATGAAATACTAAGGTCGCAAGGACTGAAAATGGTCCTGCTTATAGACTTGCGTTCTCAGCCCTAATATATCTGATTGAGCTGAAACCTTTTTTACAGATACTACAAACATTTTGAAGTACCTATTTTTTATGGTTTGTTTTGCATCTCCTTCTATTCGAATGAAAAAGCCAAAAGACGAAGAGCCCACTGAAAAATACATGTTTTTTTAAACAGACCTTATTTTATAAGGTATGCTAAAAATCATTGATACAATAGTTTTTAAAATAAAAATGTAACTATCCCAAAGTATTTCTAGTATCTGCAGAAAACGTTTCAGCTTGACTAGATGTACTATGTCTGAGAACCAGGAGCGATTCTGCAAGCTTTTATAACAAAGCTAAGTTCTGAAAAAGCTCGGCAGATTGAAAGAGATTTAGCGTTTTTCACATGAAAAACGTTCTATCTTTTCGACTTTTTAACTTTAAAGCTAAATTTGAATTATCAAAATGTTTTTAATAGATAGAGAACGCTTTGAAGCATATATAGAGCAGAAAGAAGTCAAAAACTAAAAAAAGTGAAAATTTGGAGTCCGAAAAGGGGAAGAATCCTCTTAAATAATCTTTGAAAAATTGTTAGGACAGTGCCCAACCACTCGTCATTTTCTGGTTACGCCACTACTCAACATAGAAAAAAACAGAAGTCTAAAAAAAAAAGGCAGTGTTTTTATTGTAAACCCTTTGTATTAAGGCCTATGGATCCCAAGTTTCTGTTTATGATCAGAATTTACCAAGCTCTGTTTGTAGTCAAAACATAAAATAAAACGACTAAATTTAATATATATTTTAGTCGATAGTGGAATTTCTTTTTGACTAATGTAAATTTTGTAACTTATGATAAATGTTTTATTTTAGTATGTCCTGCTGGTTGGCATCCAGGTGCAGACACTATTATTCCAAACCCCGAAGAAAAACTGAAATATTTCAGTAAAACTTATGAAACAAAAAAGAATTAAATGGTTGCCTATGCTTTACTGGAACTTGTGACGATGCGAGAATTTGTTGAGAACCTAATCTGTCATTCATGAGCGCAATTATTATTAGTTCTTTTTCCTTATTTGTTCTTAAGGGTATTTTAATTTTCTTTATAGTTGGCAATAAAAATAACTATGTAGGGTTCTATTGTTCTCGTTAATGGATTTTTTGTCTTAAGATTTTAAAGAAGCGTATAATATGATCTTTGCGAATTTTACATGACTTAAAGAAATCCTATAATATTTGTTGAATTTAAAAAAAGAATAAGAGATGGATGTATGATGGAGAACAAACAACGTGCAGAATGTAAAAAACAAGCAGATAGAATAGTATGTTTTGTAGATGAACATTTATTAGTTTTCTTTTCGAATGATGCTTATCAAAAATTTGAAATAATAGTTTTTAAATTCCAACAATTGAATGTTTTTTTCAATAATATATATTAATCAATAATTTTCTTTTAATTAATAAATAATATTTTGATATATTCTAAAACGCCTGCAAACAATATTTTATCCAATTTCGATCTTGCAGAAGGGCGAACGTCAATTTTTGAGAACACAGACACATAGCCTATGGACCGAAAATTATGAGACAAAATGTTCCTTCATATTAAGATAGCCAGTAGAACCTCTAAAATATTGGTTTAAAATTAGTTTTGTATTATATCTGAATCTAGATTCGAAGTTTTTAAGAGTTCAGAGCAAATCTTTGGAATCCAAGAAAAAAAGAATTTGAACGAAGATAGTTGCAATTATTTCCATAATGCTTTACAGTCATTTCGTAGTTCTGCTGTGACTATGTGAACTTTGTTTAAATTCGATTTCCTTTTATTTGATCGAATCACGTTTTGAAAATTTTTTGTATCAACACCTTGAGAATAGACATTTTCACTTTTATATATGTTCTAATAGTGACTTTTTGCACATCATGAAGAACGAAACCGTGTTCTAGAAACTGCGTTAAGAACCAAGATTTTCGAAAAAATCTTTCAAAAATAACCGAATGCATTATATGAGTCTGAAAAATCAAGGAATCACAAAAACGCCACTGCTTCTTGTCAAAGTTTTCATTGTTGATAGATGCCTTACAAAAAACTAATCATGAAGATATCATTTCGCAGAGATATGTTTGCTCTTTCTTACTTTTATCGTGTTCATTTATTTTTGGGTTCTAAAACACGTTCAAATTTTATTTTCAAGTCTTCCATAGGTTCGCTCATAACTTCAAAGACAAGAGTCCAATAAAAATTCCGAGCTCGAGATTGAGAAAAAGCACAAAATTTTCATTAGAAACTAATATTTTATAACTTTTACCGGTCATCGTCATCGGTCGAACAATGAAGGAAGATTCTGTCTCAATACTTTCGGCTTATCTGTTGGTATATTTTCGATGGATGCTTCCATGAGTAGTCAACTGTAAAAAAACGCAAGGCTGTCAAGAGATATTTTTCTCTATAGAACTTTGTGAAATTTGTTGTACTGATCATTTCAGTACAAAAAGAAGATTCAAATTTACTCAATAAATCATGTCGCCAGGGTCAAAGTACTCAAAAACGTCAACTGCCGCTCAGCGAGTGCTACGAATAACCAAAGTTTTTGAGTATTTTGCTTCTAGTACGATGGCTTCTTGAGTAAATTTGAATTCTTTTTACCAAAATGACCAGCACAACAAGCTCTAGAAAATTCTACAGACGAAAAAGATTTTCTGAGAATCTTGTGGTTTTTGCAGTTGACTGGAAACATGAAAGTAGCCATCAAAAATCTGATTCGCAAGTATTTTGTCGTTGGTAGAGACATAGGATCGATAAATGTTTTTTTTGCAACCGTACCCAACTTCAGAGGTCCGTCGCCCTTCACATTGAATAAAACACTGTCTGAAATATTATTGACTTCAATAAACATCTTTTATTATACATAGCTACGATGCTTGAAGATAAGTATAATCATATGTAGCTTTGATAGTCGCTTGTTGACATCGCAATAGGATACCAGATAGATACTCGTTTATTTAAGAACAGAAAAAAAAGACTGAATAGAATTTAGTCAAACCTTTAAAGAAGTTTATTGATTTATTTCTATATTTATATGTATATCAAAAATGAAAAAATGATTTTTTTTTAAGCCACAGATTGTCGAAGAACAGGATTAGCATTTGGATTATTGCCATGTTCTGTTACGAATGGACTCAATTTATTGAAACGTTGTGAAACCATTGTTTGATCTTGATTAGGAATTTTTTCTACAAGTACTCGATATCCTGGGGCTGTTTGAACACGAACAGTTTTTGATGGATCAGCACGAGGCGAAACAGCAGGGCCGACTACAAGGAGAAAAAACAAATTTACATCTTCTATATATAGAAGCAAATCAATATTTATATTTGTTTTTACATCGTTCTTGTAAAATACGTGTTACATTATGTGGCACTGGCTGTTTCATTCTAAGCGATTGATAACGACGATTTTCAAGTGAATCATACGATAAAATACGATAATCAACTTCCTTTGGAAGACAAGCAGACATACTTCCTTCGTATCGATAAAGTGGATCGTTATTAACTCGATAAGATTCGAGTGACGGTGTGGATAAAATCAAATCGCCTTAAAATAGAAATAAGATTGATTTTTTTTATGAGAATCAGACAATATTCAATTTCTTTTTATAATTTTATTCATGAAAAAAAACTAAAAAAACATATTGTTTCATTGCCTACTCTTTGTATAAGACTTAATGAAAACAAAATAAATAAAAAGTATGATTTTTATTACCGCCTGTATTGATATGAAGACCAGTATATGGCTTGACTTGACTTGAATCAATATTTTTTGAGTAGAGTATCGCTCTTATCGAATCTAACTCAGCCATTCGTTGATGATTGTGACTATTTCACTTCTGTGTTAATAAATGTTTTTGTCTCTACGTGCACGCGTGTACGTCTTGTTGTTGAAAAAAAAGATCTGGCCACTTGCTATTGTGATGTGTCGATAAGATTTTGTTTCAATTCTGCCAATTGAGAACAGCATACGACTGAGAGAAAAAGAAAAGAAAAGCAATTTGTGGCCGAATAATACAAAATCGACCAACATCTGTGTGGATGTATGTTTATTAGTTACCGAACACTGCACCGCATCATTCGGGAAACAAAATGAAGAAATATAAGTTGTCATGTGTACTTGTTTTACACATGTAAATATTCAATATGCTTAATACAGTCTATTGTAAAATAACTTGATCGAATTTTTTTATTACGTTTTGCTCCTTAGTTTCAATTGTATTAAAAATTTGCAAAATTCAAATTTTTAAAAAAGTTTCGAATGAGCAAAGAAAAAAGTCAGCGTAAAAATATTTTAAAAAAGAACTCTTAAACAATTTCAAGAACTTAATTGTTGGAGTAACTAGACAAAAAGAAGCTTTCTATAATTTCAGTATAATATGTTGTGATTTTGCATAAGAGTGTAGAGATTTAAAAAACAGTTTGTGAGAAGATTTGATAGTTAAGTAAACATTGGTTAGTTTTACTTATGAACTAATAATTATGTATATTGTAGAAGTATAAAATTATTTTTTAATTAGATATACTTATCATCCGTTCGAAATAATTATTTCTATATTCTTCCACTACTTCAACATACATCTTCTAGTTTTACTCTTTAACGATAGATCACTTGAATTCAATTGAAAAAAAAATTAGAAAAAAAAACACTTCACTTTTATTTTTCGAATAGGAAGTGAAAGCTTCAAGGCCCACCATTACAACACTGTAAAGGACAAATGTGTCAACATATATGAGCTGTAAATTGGATTGAGTTTTTGATAAAGACAGTATTACGGTCGTGTGACGTTGTGTCATATACAGCAAAATACGTACATAATTTACAGCAGTAGTCGTGCCGTAAATCGGTTGTAATGTTGATGAATACCGCAGTGTAAGCTGATGTTTACGGCCATACTTTCATGTAAATAACTGTACGTTACTCAGATCAATAACATATGAAGTTCAGATGAAACTGTAAACGATTCTATGTGTTTCGTATTTCTCGTTTTATGACGGTAATACATGACTCAGTATCATGATCGTATGCGACATAAAGATGTAGAATCGTAATACTGACTTGTGAAATTCCACAGTTTACACGGTTAGGCATATATTTGTGTTCTGAAACGTTTCATTAGATTTATTAGATGCAGTATTGAACTATTTATGTGAAATGACATGAACGTATAATGTGGATTGAATCAATTCATTTTATTCAATTGTATTATGCCAACGTTGTTTAAAATCATCGTGCTTTTACATTCATCACTTATTTGTCTATGATGACTGTAAACGTTGGTCGGTTTTCGTCGTCATTGATCGATATACGCTCATGTAGCATCGTCAGTAATTGATCTAGGTTGCTTAGAAAGAATATTTAGACAGATTCTATTCGATTTAACTCATTGCATATAAAAAGTTGTTACACTGACCTTGCAACTATCAATAGATTAAAAAACTATTCCGAGATCAGTGATAAATTTTTATTACAACAATAGTCATATTCAATAGATTAGTTCATATGAATTAATAGAAAACAAGAAAACCTCTTTACAAGATCAATTCTTATCTTTACAAGTGATCTAAAAAAGACTATCATTACACTTGAACAGCTTATTAGAAATATGTTAATGATTTGTGTTAACTATTTACGAGAGACTCATATAATTCAATCGAGCAGTTTGACTACAGAAGCAAAAATAATTCAATTTTTCACATTTTTGGAAAAAATCATAGAATTTTATTATATAATTTAGAATAATGTGGGATAATGTTAAGATGAAACAAATTTCACATGTATTATAAAATCTGCTAAGCAATTATTTTGAAGTAAATACATCAAGATTCAATTATTATCATATGCAAAGTTATTAACATAATATCTTAGGAATGTTGTATGACTTACATAGCAATCGGCTGCATCGATATCTGTCACAAATATTTATGTGTTTTGACCGATACACCGTTTGATTATTATTCAGCGGTCAAAACTATAACATATGAATTAGAGTAAAAGTATTTTTCTTTTCAATAATGAATGATGCTAATCCAAGACATAATTCGCTTTTCCATAAGATTTTGAAGAAATAATATTGATTACTTATTTGAAAATAGTAAAAGAACATCATATCATTAAAAACCAGAAATGGCATAATTATTATAAGCAAATGAAAAAATCTGAAATATGATCTGGTGATTAATTTTTAATAAATACATTTCTTTAATAAGAAATATCTTTTTGGTCCTACAGTTCACTGTTTACTGCATTAATCTGAGTAAGCTTTGCTGAAAACCAAAGTATTTACAGAAAAGTTTTTGTTCTGAATAGACAAGTTTGTATTCTAATAATTAAGAGAAGATTCACGAGACCATCGAGTATCATGTCCATATACGAGGCATCGAATAAAAAAAAATTTTTTTTCATTTTTTTTGCTCATTCAACACTTCAATGTCTGAAACC